CACTTGCCCAATGCAATATGTCATTTAATGTCTTCTTTTCTACTTCCAGGGGCATTGATTGTTGATGCAAGTACAATGAAATCTTTGACAACTTCAGTATTATTCCTGTCTCTCTCTTTTTCTTTCTATCTGTCTATCTACACACACACACACACACACACACACACAGAGGAGGTTGAGTAAAAAAATTACCCACATTCTGTCTGTAGAATTTATTTCAGTCAGTTTTCAGAAAAGAAAAATACATCAGTTTTTCAACATAAACCCCTTGCTTTTCAATATACTTTGTCCATCTGTCAATAAGCTTTCACATTCCCTTATTTAAAAAATGTTCTAGGCTGAGCTGTGCACTACAAATGCACTGCTGTCTTCACTTCTTCATCAGAGGTGAAACTTCATCCTCAAAGGGCTACTTTAGAGAACCAAACAGGTGGAATTCCAATGGAGCAAGATCAGGACTATAGAGAGTATGCTTTAACACTTCAAAACCAAGTTTTTACAGAGTGTGGGCAGAGGTGTGTGGACATGCATTGCCATACAAGATCACAATGCCCTTGGATAGCAGTCTTCTGTATTTAACTTGAAGTTTAGGCTTCAGCTCTTCAGTGAGCCTCTCCCTGTAAGAAGCACTGTTTATTGTTGAAACCTTATCCAGATAGTGTTCCAATACTGGCCCTTGAGAATCCCAGAAAACTGTAAGCATCAATTTTCCAGCTAACCTTTGAACTTTTTCTTGGTTGGCAATTAAGTATGTTTCCATTCAATACTCTGCCATTTATTCTCAGGCTCATAGTAATGAATCGATGTCTCGTTACCAGTTATGATTTTTTTTTTTTTTTTAAAGAAGCTGTTACCTTCCTTCAAATTTTGTTTGCAAATGTCCAAACATTTCTGTTTATGCTCTTTTGTGAGTTGTTTCAGTACCCATTTCACACAAACTTTTTGAAACCCAAATCTGTCATGAATTATTTCGTAATTAGAGCCATGCTGATTTGTAAATGATTTGCTACATAATCCACTGTCACTCGTCTATTTGACAGAATCATTTCATGTGCACGCTCAATGTTGTCACCAACCATGGCATGAATGGGCTTTTTAATATAACTGGAGTGCGGATAATTTTTTACTCACCCTCATATATACTGGGATTGAGAAACTCCCAACGTGAAGATAAATTGCCTTTGCCCTATGCATTAGATGATCAAACTAAACTGAATTGCCAACGTATATGAAGATACACCATCGCTTCATAAAAATTTACATACTTAGATCAAAATCAGCATATATATATATATATATATACATTTAGGAGTGCTGGGGGAGTCCTGATGTGGTGCTGCAGGATAATATGCTGAGTCAATTTGAGTTGCAAGGTTCTCAGTTCAAACACAACAGCCACTCCTGGAAACCCTATGCAGGGTCACTATGTGTTGGAATCAAATCGACTCAATGACAAAAATAGGAGTGTTGGTGGCACTATAAGATAAACACTGGACTGGTAATCACAAAGTTCGAAGGGTAAACCCACCAAATGCTCTGCAGGAGAAAGATAAGGCTTTCTGCTCCTGTAAAGATTTGAAGCTGCAGAAACCCTATACAAGGTTGCTATGACATTGAAGTTGTTAAAAACTTCATTTTACTCGGATCAACCATCAACACTCATGAAAGCAGAGATCAAATGATGTACTGCATTAAGCAAATCTGCTGCACAAGGCCTCTTTAAAGTGTTCAAGAGCAAAGATGTCAGCTTGAGGATTAAGGTGCATCTGGCACAAGCCATGGTATTTTCAATAGCTTCATATGCATGTGAAACTTGGACAGTGAATAAGGAAGACCTTAGAAGAATTGATTCATTGGAGTTATGATGTTGGAAGAGAACATTGAAAGTACTATGAACTGCCAAAAGAACAAACAGATCTGTGTTGGAACAAGTGCAGCCAGAGTGCTCCTTGGAAGACAGGATGGCCAAACTTCGTCTCTTATACTTCAGACATATTACCAGGAGGGACCAGTCTCTCGAGAAGCATATCATGTTTGGTAAAATGGAGAGCAGGAAAAAAAGAGGAAGACCCCCAGTGAGATGGCTTCGCATAGAGGCAGCAGCAATGGGTTCAAATGTAGCAATGATTTTGAGGTTGGCACAGGACTGGGCAGTGTTTCATTCTATATGCATAGGGTCGCTGAGTCAGCACCTAACAACAACAATAACATGAGTTGGAACCATCTCAAAGAGACCTAACTACCACATACATGTGAGCAAATTGATGTTGTTGTTGCTAAGTGCTGTAGAGTCGGTTCCAACTCACAGAGAACCTATATTGGGTTTTCAAGGAGTAAGTGGGAGATTTGAACCACCAGCCTTGCGGTTAACAGTCCAGTGCTTATCCTACAGTGCCACACTAGGACTGTATATGTACATATACATGTATATATTGTTGTTGTTGCTGGTAAGTGTCATCAAATTGATTCCAACTCATAGTGACCCTGTTTAGGGTTTCCAAGGAGATGCTGGTGAGTTTGAACTGTGATGTTGTGGCTCTCAGTTCAGTGTTGATCAGACAGCACCATACCAGGTGTCCACAGACGTATATATACATATGTAAATTTAACCTATTGGTGAATATGCTTCATTAAGAAGAACATAGTAAGGAAAGGCCAAAGCTATGACTTAAATATAGAGAAATATGATTAACATATAAGAGGATCATGAGGAGAAAGCCTTTTCTTTCAGTCTCAACATACAAGATAATGTGAAAAAGGAAGGAAAATCAACATGTGAGGTCCAGAGGAGAGTGATTAACTTTCCAGTCTAGGAGCAAGGTCCCTAGGAC